TCTGCGTCCAGCTCCCCCTCCCACCCCCTCTCCACCTGTCAGTCATCCGCATTTTGATGCAGACCTACCTGCGTTGGATTTTTCTTATGCCCAGGGATGCAATAGAAATACTCGCACGTTTGGGACGCCTGGGTAACTCAGCCAGTTGAGTTGGCACTCTTGATATCAGCTCAGGTCATGATATCCCAGTGCTGTGGGATCCAGCCGGCTTCCGGCTCTGGGCTGAGCGTGGAGCCTGCTTGGGATTCTCTCCTTCCCTCTGCCCCTCTCCCCAGCTCGCCCCCCCCCCCCATAAAAATAAATGTTTTAAGAATGAGCGAATGAACACATCTTCAACCCTTCTCCATATACGTGCCTCAGGATGCTTTCGTTTTCATTCCTAGCATTTACGTGCATGTGTTTAATGGCCTGGCATCCTGGACTTTACCTATGAGTGGGTAAGGGTCGTGTTTGTTTTGTTCACTACTACGTCCCCAGTTCCTACACGATGCCTACAATATGGGAGGTCCGCAGTAGATACTCTTTGGAGATTGAAGGGAAATTCTTCTGACTTTCTGGCTGAGAAGATGAAGTCTCCTACATCTGCAGCTGGAACCTTGAATGCCCGCCTTCCTACGCCTTGAGCGATCCTCAGCTAGGAAGATGTTTCCTTGACCTCTCTCCAAATAAGATCCCTTCCCAAATAAGGTGAATTGGGAGTGAGGTACCTTGACTTTCTCACTCACTCCCAGACTGCAAAGGAGACACACGGCAGCTGGCGAGAGAAGAGCCTTTAATTAAAGATGAGTTGTGGGCCGGGCCCACTACTCTTGCGCCCTCGGTGGAGGGTGGACAAGGGTAGGAGAGTAGGAAGGGAAAAATGGGGTAAGGGGGAAGCAGGGAGAAGGGGAAGGGCACGGCCCCCTGGGGCTGTCTGCTCAACTGTTCTCCCAGAAAAAGTTGTTACAGGCCACTGTGAGGGCAGCCACCAGCACCACATACTCTTGGAAGTCCACCTCCCCATCTCCATTCTCGTCTAGCTCTTTCATCACCTTGTCCACAGCGTCTGCATCCTTCTGGGCCTGTGGAGGGGGGAGATGGAGAGATAGGAATATAGAGAGGGGAATAGTACTGAATCAGGGGCAAGAGGGGTGGTTGATTGGGAAGAAGGAGGCGGAGATGAACAAGAGGGAGAACTACATCTCCTTATGGTATTCTTCTGAGTCACCCTTCAGAACACACTTGTGGCCTCCTGTTGGCTACAGAATAAGCTTCTTAACGAGGCAGAGTAATAACAACATCAGTTACCGTAGGTTTGGTGCCTAGGATGCAACAAGCTTTACAAGCATTGTCTAATTTTAACGCAAATAGTACAGGCAGGTTTCATTATTCCCCTACTAGAGAAGAAACAAATTAACACTTGGTGGTTAAAGAATGTTCCCAAGTCACACAGCTAGAAGCTGCCAGAGTCAGAATCGGAACCCAGGCCTGATAAAATCTCAAAGCTGGTTGACTTTCTACTGGCTTCTTTACCATATAAGCCCCTGTTAGCATTTGCAGCCTACTCTTCTGCACCCTTCACTCAGGTCAAAACCACTGAGCATGCTCCATATTCTTTTTTCTTCCATGCTTCTGTTCATGCAGATACCTCCTAAAATGTCTACATTCGCCCTGATAACATTCCAGTGGAAATCTGTGGCTCAAGTACCACCTCTTTGGAGGAGCCCACTTCAGTCAGGTTACTATTTCCCAGAATCCTTTCTGGCAATTCTGTTAAAGCTCTGAGTACTTCCTGAATGGTTGGCCCAAGACTTCACGGGGACGGGGATCTCGTTGCCTCCTGTCAGCGGACGGGGGCCTCTTTTGGTCCTCCAACTCTGCTCTCTCCTGAACATTTCACTTCCTGGTGTTCGTGGTTTACTTTCATGTGTCAGTGTTTCCCTTCTAGACCGTGAGCCTTGTTATTGATGCATCTGCATAGGTCCCAGCACTTAACAGGTGATTAATAAGTTAGGGTATTTTTGTCTTGAGCCTGGAGGGGTAGGGAAGCCTGGAAAAACCCAGGAGAGAAGTCTGGGAGAGGAAGGAGACAATTGGGCTGTGTTTGGGAAGATGGAAGGGAGGTGTCCCTCCACCCCTCACCCACTCCACCCTGTATCCCACTCTGCTTACGTCCAGGAAGCCAGAGAGCTCGGTCTGCAGCAGCTCTTTTAGCTCCTTCTTGCTCAGCTTGTACTTGTCTCCCTCCTTGCCCGAGTGGGCGTGGAACACGTTGATGAGAGTCTCCATCGCCGTCTCCAGCTCTGAGCCCATTGTGCAGCTCACCTACCCACCCCCACCACGGAAGGAAGTTAGGGACCATGCTTCAGGCTATCTGGGGTCAGGGTGAGTGGAGCCCTCGGCCTAGCCCTGGTCCCACATCCGAAATAGCCACGAGATCAGAGCCACACCACAGTTTATCTTTCACTGAGATTTTATGACATGGCAACCTAACAGACCTGAATCTAGACTTGCTCTCTGTGTCCCTCAGTCCATATCCCAGCCAGAGGTAGCCAGTGTTTGGGGCACGAAGACAGAGCAGCCGTGGCTGGCTCTAGAGGCCTGCGGTGGACTCTGGTGGTTCCTGGCTGCCTGGGCAGACACTGAGAAGGGTGGGGCAGGCAGGCAGGGATGGTCACAGGACCCTGCCAAGCTGCCTCTGGCTCTATTTTTACCCTGCTATGCCTGAAGCTCTGCTGTTGAGGGTGGTGGGCTGCACCCCCTTCTACGGCCTTGACTGCTGCCTACCCCTAACAAGGAGTCCGTCTGGTGCCCTCAGTCAGCCTGACAGGAGAGAGTGGTGGCCCGCGTGGCTGGCCCAAGGCTTCATGGGGAGGGGGGAATCTCACTGCCTCTTGAGTTTCCTATCAGCAGACTGGGACCTCTTTCGGTCCTTCAACTCTGCTCTCTCCTGAACATGTCACTTCAGCTTCCCTGGGGTGCATCTCCATGACCTCTAGTTTGGTTTCTCTTCCTTCTCTGCAGAATCAGGCCTCCCATCGGGTGATGGTGGGAAGGGAGAAGGAATGTGGACACGTTTCCCCAGAGCCAGGGCTCCCAGGGAGGGGGGAGGAGACCTCCGGGGCTTCATCCCTGCTCCTGCCTACTTACTCCCACCCCTAGGCCCGGCCTGGATGAGGTGAGGACAGTGACAGCTGGCAGAATAGGGCTGGTAAATGTTGGGGGCTGGGAGTAAACAGCTGAGTGCATCCTCTGAATTCAAGGGGCTGGAGAGAAGGAAGAAAAAAATGGAGGGGTTTGTCGAGGAGAGGGGGCCAACTCAGGAGGCCTCTTTCTTTTGGCCTTAGGATGGTCAGCCCCTCCACAGCCTCAGGGGGCAGCTCAGGTGTCTCAGATCAGGTGTCCTTGTCCTTCCTCAGGCCTAAGGGGCTGAACAATGGGCCCTGATCGAATGACATTCCAGCTTTACAATGGGGACCTTGTGAGTGTCACCTGAACTCTGGGCATGAGAAGCAGTTGTCACAGAGACATGGGGGAGATGGAACCCAAGCTGGGGCTGATGGAGGGGATAAGGGGTGCGTGTGTGGGAGGGCTCTTGGTGGCTCAGTAATTGGCCCATCCAGGAGGGGCACTTAGAGGTTGCCTGGAGCCCTTGAGGAGCCAGGGATGTTATGCAGGGGCCATTTGGAGAGGACTTTGGCAGGGAGTGGGCAGACGGGAAGACAAAGGGAAAGACTTGAAGGAAAGAGAAGTCTGGAAGTCTGGGCCAAGGAAGGAGGAGGAGACAGAGGGGGTCATGTGAAAGGAGAGTTGGGAATGGGTAGAGTACCCTAATGCCCTCTCCTCCTGATACGTCACGGCCCATGCTCTCCTACCCCGCGGCTTCTCTGGGACCTGGGCTCTTGGCAAGGCTGGGTGCCGGTGGGGGTGGGGGCAGAAACAGCAGTCCCATTTGCTTTCTGAGCCTCCTGGAAGCAAAGTGGGAGCTGGGTCCCCTCCGCAGGTCCTGGGAGATCCAGGGAATCTTGGGAAAGCACTCTGAGGGCGCTAGTAGGAGAACTTGATCTCCTGGAAGCTTCCTCCTTCCCTGAGGACCACCACAGACCTCCCTCTGAACTTGACTGGCTTCCCTGTGCTACTGTCCAAACCCTGTCTCCCCCAAATCCCAAACTGCTGTCGCGGGAGCCCCTCCCACACGCTCAGTGCACCCCAATGTTTTTGCCCCTACAATGCTGTTGCCCCAGGCTTCAGGAGCTCTGCTGAAGTCCCCTTTCCCCCCAAGCTGGCCACAGCAGGGACCCAGTGCAGAGGGAGCAGATACTCACTGTCAGCCTTGACCTGAGGTGGGAGCAGGTTCTGGACAGACAGACCAGTCTGCAAATGTGGCTACCAGAGCTGTGTGGGGAGACCTGTGTTCGGTCCCTCCCCCGCGGCCCCCCTCCCCGCCAGCTCCACCCCTTCACAGACAGACACCCCGCTGGGGCGAGGGGCCAGGAGTGGACAGAGGCGCCCTCTGTCTCCAGGGCTGGAACAGGCCGCCCTGTGTCCTCTTTTCCAGCCTCGGGCGCCTCCCCCGGCTCCTGGGCCCCAGGGAGGTGGGAAAGGTCCTGGGAGGGTCACGGAGAGGCCTCTCACCACCACTGCGTGCAGCACGGGCAGCACAGGGGAGGATCCCGCCGAGGGGGGTCTCAGCGAGGGGCCCTAACCCTCCGTGAATCATTTAATCCTGGGACTTTTAGTCTGACTCCCCGCTGACAGATTTCAGTCCGGGGCCTCCTGCACGGAGGTCTCGGCCGGACCCCCGCCCCACCCCGCCCCGCCTCCGTGGGAGCCTCTTGGGGGTCTGGGGCTGCAGGGTCCTGTTCAGGATCCTCCCCTCGGGAGGGGCTCTCTGTGGGGTCTCTCAGCTCCAGAGTGGACGTGGTGGGGGGTGGTGGTGGGACGGCAGGGGTCCCGGGGCGCGCGCGTAGGCCGGGTGGGCTGGGGGACCCCGGGACCCCGCCCGAGTGCAGGGGGTGGGGGTGGGGGTGGGGGCGGCGGCGGGCGGCGGGAGGCGGGCCTGGGCGGTCTCCTCCCTCCGGGATCCGGGCAGAAGCGGACACCTCGGGTCTGGGCTGGGGCGCTGCCGCCTCTCCCCCGCCGCGGTGAGTCCCGGATCCCCATCCTGGGGGGTCGGGCGCCTCTCTGTCGTGGGGCTCGCGGGCCCGTCCCCGAGCCAGCTCGGACCGGGGTGCGGGAGGGTTTGGGGGCGCCCGGCCGCCGTCCTCGCTAGGGGGAGCGGCGGGCTCGGCCCTGCGCCGCCTGCCCCTGCCCGGCGGGGTCCCCGCGGCCCGACCGCAGGCCTGACCCCGGCCACCCCGCCCGCGACACAGCCCGGGGCATGTGGGCGGGCCGGGTCCCTGTACAAACAAGCTTTGGAGACAGCCGGCCTCATGACCCCTGGGGGCCGGCTGAGCCTCCGAGACAGGGCCCTAGGGACCAAAGTGCCTCCTCTCAGAGGAGTCTGGAGACTTTGAGACCAGCACGGAGGGGGCTCTAGGACACAGACACTTGGAAAGGACCACCCAGCTCAGACCTGGAGAGGATGGGGTTTCTGGAAGCACACACCTCTTCCTCTGCCTGCACTGAGCTGTTTCCTGGCCCCCTGCCCCAGGCCCCATCCCTGTCCCCTCCCACCTGCCCGGGAAGGTTCCCTGTGGGCTGGGACAGGCTGGCCTAGTCTGACTCTCCCTTCCTCTCTTCCCTGTCCTCCAGGGTCCCGATGGCGGCCGAGCCGCTGACTGAGCTGGAGGCGGCCATCGAGACAGTGGTCACCACCTTCTTCACCTTTGCAGGGCAGGAGGGCCGCAAGGGCAGCCTCAGCATCAATGAGTTTAAGGAACTGGTCACTCAGCAGCTGCCTCACTTGCTCAAGGTAGGTGGGGGGGTCTCTGGGCCTGAGACTTTGGGGGACAGTGGCTGCCAGACGCCGGGTATATGAGGCAGGGTGATATTCTGGGCCTGATCGTGTGACCCCAGGTATTTGGTGGACAAGGGTGTGGGTGACTACATGTGTAAAGGATTCTGGTGTGTGTGTGTGTGTGTGTGTGTGTGTGTGTGTGTGTGTGTGTAACTAGGTAACACTGTGTCAGTGTGAGTGCAAGTGTGTCATTGGGCTTTGTGTTCCCATCAGACAATGCTGTTGGGTTCTCGAGAATGCTCTGTGCCTTTCTGGTCTCATTTCCCCAACACAGGGGTGGACCCAGAGGTGGCTTCCAGGAGAGTTACAGACCGTCAGAGCTGGAAGGAGGCCAAGACAAAACAGTCCAAACTCCTCACTTCACGTATTTGGAAATCGAGGCTGAGCTGTATGTAGAAAGGGGTTTGTGAACAATAAAAACACAGTCAAATTCATGCAGAGATAGATCTCAGAGTAGGAGAGACCTGTAAGTAATCCATGATTGCTTCTCGCCCCCTCTGGGAATCCCCTCAATAATGTGCCTGGTAAGGTCATTCGTTCTCTCCTACTCACTGGACAGGGTAGGGATTTAAATTTCATCCACTCTGAGTTGCCTCATCATCCCAGTCTGTTAACAGTTTCTGTTTCATCCCTGCTGAGAATTCACAGGCACGTAGGAGGGTGTGAATATGGATAAAAAAGCAAAATCACGAGCAAGTTTGGAGACTCAGTCCGTCATCTGCAAAATCCCCTACATTCTTAGACTTCTCGGCTCCTTCCCTTTCTCTTCTCTCAGGAAATGAGACACCACTCAAGGTGCAGTGTTCCCCAGAGCCCTGTCAAATACTGACTGGTTTTTCCTCCAAACCCAACTCCCCTTGGGCCTGGCAATGCAGGAAGTGACCCCTTTGCTTTTGGTGACTGCTTCCAGATCTCAGTTTCTTCCTCTTCCTAAGACGTGCAGCTTCTGGGAAGCTCCTGTGCCACCTGCCCCGCCCCTTCCCGAATCCCTTATAAGTCTGCAGCTCCTGCCTTGATGTTTTTCTTCCCATCGCTGCTTTTGCAGTGTGCACACAGACCATGCATGCAACACCTGGGCCTTTCAGGGACTTCAACCCCTCGCTTCCAAAGACTCCGTCCTGCTTCTGAGCAGCCCTCTCTGTTGTTGCTTCAGATCTTGTCATTACCAGAATAATGCCCCACCTCCCAAATCTCGGTCTCCTTTCTCAGAGCATCACCTCCTGCTGTTCCAGTTCTGTTCCTCCACTCCAGCCCTTCCTGGACTCCACCAGGACCTTCAGTCTTCGGACCTTGTCACCTGTCCTTCCACATGTCCCTCATGTCCGCAGTCCCTCCTCACTCAGCTGGGCTGTAAGGCTCAGCATGGAAATCAGTCCCCCGGGTCACGGCCCACCCTTGATTCTGTTCCTCTCTGTCCTGGTTTTTTGGCAGAATCCCAACCCGGGTTAAGTCCAGCATTTCATGCTCATTAGCTTGATGGTCAAATCTACCATTCTTTCTCAGATCCAAAATAAAGCGAAATTTCCACTCTCAGAGGAAAAAAAAAAATCAACCAGTCCACCAGTCTACCTGCCATTCTGCGTCTGCACTTTTGTGTAGCTGAATCTGGCTGGATAAAAAGATGTTGCCGTGTTACTTGTCAGACTCTGTCATTTTTACTAATATTATTTAAAAAATTTTAAAAATTTTTAATGTTTATTTTTGAGAGAGACAGAGACAGAGACAGAGCACGAGCGGGTCAGGGGCAGAGAGAGAGCGAGACACAGAATCAGAGCCAGGCTCCAGGCTCCAGGCTCCAAGCTGTCAGCACAGAGCCTGGCGTGGGGCTCGAACTCTCCAACAGCGAGATTGTGACCTGAGCCAAAATCAGATGCTCAACCGATTGAGCCACCCAGGTGCCCCTGTTAATATTATTTTTTAAATTGAAGGATAGTTGACACACAATGTTGACTTGTCTGTCTTTAAATCTGTGACCGCAAACTCCAAGGGAACTCTTGGCACAGGCTGCCAATTCTGCTACATTTCCCCAGTTGGTTCATTGACCAGCTCTTTCAGATGGTAATTTCACAACTTTTCCTCCCTCCTCAAACTCCAGTCCCTCTTTCCACAGTCTCCCTCTCACTGAGAAATGTTCTCAGACAAATAACAGCCATCAGGAAACTTCTTTGTACTGCCTCCCAAGTCTACCAAAGGTCAGCATGTACCCTGCCTTCCTTCCTGCTCCCTGAAGCATCTGTCTCTGCCCCTGGGGCCAAGCCCTCCTATGCTGCCGGACTCCATTCCTCCTCACCAGCTAAAATCTCTACTTTTTCGGTTCCTCCTCTCTCTCGCGTCATCAATTCTCCCTCTCTACCAGATTGTTCTGATCAGTTTTCCAATATATTGTAATATCTCCCATCTTAAAAAAAGAAAAAACACCCTTTCTTGACTCTGTAACCCTCTCCAGCTATGCCTTCCATCTCTGCAAAAATCAAAAGCAGCAAGGGTTATTTATACTCTGGGCTCTCCTGGCCCCAAATGCTCATTCCTCAGGCATTTGCCAGGCTTATTCTTCGCTGAACCCAGATTTCTGCTCAAATGGCGAATCCTCATCATGGCCCCCCTCACTTCTGAGGGCAAAGACAACCTCCCTTGTGCTTTATTCCTTTCCCTTCTTTTATTTTCTTCCAGAATACACCTATCACAACCTGACTTCCATCACATACTTACATTTACCAAGGGTGTGCGTCCCATGAAGGAAAGGAATCTGCTCACTGTTTTATCTCCAGCACTTAGAGCAGTGTCTGACTTCTGGTAGGTGCTCAGCAAAATATCGAGTGAGTGAAATTGTAAAAAAGTAAGAATTTTTGTTGAGTGAGTAAATGAATAAATAACATCTTACCTACTGTTCTACAAATGCCCTTTTAAAATGTAACAGTGCGGGGCGCCTGGGTGGCTCATTCCCTTGAGCGTCCGACTTCAGCTCAGGTCATGATCTCGCCGTCTGTGAGTTCGAGCCCCGCGTTGGGCTCTGTGCTGACAGCTCAGAGCCTGGAGCCTGCCTTGGATTCTGTGTCTCCCTCTCTCTCTGACCCTCCCCCGTTCGTGCTCTGTCTCTCTCTGTCTCAAAAATAAGTAAACATTAAAAAAATTAAAAAAAAATAAATAAAATGTAACAGTGCATAAAGGATATTTCCCATTTGAAGAAAATGATGCACTGTATGTAATGGTATGTAGGCTAACACAAATTTATGTGGTGAATTTTCTGTTGATGGACATTTCTTGTGTCCATTTTTTCCCTTTTGCAAACATCCTTGTTTATATATCTTTACGTACTTGAGGGAAAATATCTATAGGGTAAATGTCTGCCAGTAGAAATATTAGGTCAAAAGGCACGTTTGTTTTTCTTTTTTATAGATATTTCCAGTTTGCCTCCCAGCAAGGTTGTCATCAGGCTTCAAGGCCACCAGTGCATGCGAATGCCTGTTTACTCACGTCCTTGCCTAAATTGGGTCTTATCAGACTTTCAATTTTTGCTAATCAGTGAAAATGATATCTTGTTCTGATTTATACTTTTCAAATTCTGAGTGAGATGGAATATTAAAAAATATTTTTGACAGATATGCATAATCCTTATTCTGTGAACTGCTTGTTTATTTCTTTCATTAAAGAGATTTTCTTTTTCTAAATTTTATATGTTTATTTACTTTTTAGAGAGAGCTAGAGTACAAACAGGGGAGGTGCAGAGGGGGAGGGAGACAGAGGATCCAAAGCGGGGTTTGTGCTGACAGCAGAGAGCCCGACGCGGGGCTCGAACTCATAAACCGCAAGATCATGACCTGAGCTGAAGTCAGACATTCAACCGACTGATCCACCCAGGCACCCCTCTAATAGTTTTTTAAAAAGGGGAAAGAAATAGAGAGTAGTGAATGAGATCATAAGCTTTAAGTCAGACAATCTAGGTTCAAATGCAGATTCTAGCTTGTCATCCTTGGTTATTTAATCTTTCTGAGCCTTAATTTATTTTTCTTAATTAAAAAAATTATTTTAATGTTTATTTATTTTTGGGAGAGAGAGAGACAGACAGACAGACAGAGCATCAGCAGGGGAGGGGCAGAGAGAGAGAGAGAGGGAAACACAGAATCAAGAGCAGGCTCCTGGCTCTGAACTGTTACCACAGAGCCAGACATAGGGCTCAAACCCACAAACTGTGAGATCATGACCTGAGCCGAAGTCGACACTTAACTGACTGAGCCAGTCAGATGCCCCATGAGCCTTAATTTCTTATCTGTGAAATGGACTCATAATAATACCTTCCTCATTGCATTGGTCTTGCATTTATTCGGTCAATATTTATTGAGCACCTATTATGTCCTGTCCTGATGCTGTCGTAGGCTTTGGGTTACAATGGTGAACAAGATGGACAAGGTCCCTTTCATTTTAGCAGATCATGAAGATTAAATGGAGTAAGGCATTGTGCTTGCTTCGGCACAACATATACTAAAATTGGAACAATACAGAGAAGATTAGCACGGCCCCTGTGCAAGGATAATACGCAAATTTGTGAAGTATTCCATATTTAAAAAATAAAAATAAAAAAAATAAATGGAATAAGGCATGTAAAGCGTTTAGCATAAGGCTTGGAACAGTCGGCACTATTAAGTGCTTACGACTGTTAAAATGTTAGCTGTTATCACTGTTTTGGTTTTTCCTTTTATAATTAGCAATTATATAATTGCTAATATAATAAGAGGTGAATTTTCCTTTTCTTTCCTAGTACTTATACCTTTCATTTCTTTCTCTTGATTAATTGTATGTTTTTTCCCCTCCCAATATAATGTTACACTGGGCATCTTGCCTTCCACTGGTAATGCTTGTAAGTATTTTACGATTAAGCATGAATGTGGCTTTTTAAAAGGTCTTTCTTAGCTTTTCTATGAATGAGCTTTAGCCTCGTGCCTTCTGTAGATTTGGTAAGACTTCTCTGCCTTCATTCACACATTGATTAAAATATTGAGTATTGGGCTCTGCCCGTGGCACCCTTCTCTAGTTTGACATTGATCCATTGTTCAACAGCTTATGTTTTGGTTGTGATCGTTCATCTAGCAACAGACCCTTTGATCATGGGTTCAGTTTACAGTATCCTTTGATGTCACAGGCCTGTCACGAGAGGCTTTGTCAAAGACCCTGCAGAAAACCAGATACCCCATGTCTTTGCCATTCGCCTGGTCCACCAGGCTAATAACCGACCTGGAAAGAATGAGACTACGTTAGGGTTATACAAATGAGTGGCTTAGGACTGTGAATTTCCCTAGCTTTCTGTGAAGGAAGAAGGTGGCCTGAGAAGGCTCTGAGGATGGCCTGCATGGGTTCCCTGAGCATCCTTGAGCAAATCCCAAGTGCCGTGGTGTGCCGGAGCCCATCTTACCTGTAGGCAACAGTTCATTGTGTGCACCTCTTCCCAGCTCTGTGTTCGGTGACTTCATGGTTGTGGTTCATCATCGGCCACGGTGGGAGTATTTGCATGCTGGCAAACACTACAAGTCAGGTCCTCTACTCCCTCTGCTGCTGCCCTTGGAGCCTAACCAGTTTGGAGAGGTTAGTAACTGCCAGACACCCGGGAGGCACTGTTCCGGGGCTGCAGCCTCGTCCTGAACGCCTGGGGCAGGTCCTAGATGAAGAGAATGGACATTAGCAGTTCTTTCCTCTCTCCCTATCTCAGGAACTCTCTTTTCTAACCCCACGTCTCCTGTTGATGTCTCCTCAGGATGTGGACTCCTTAGATGAGAAGATGGAGAGCTTGGATGTGAATCAGGACTCCGAGCTCAAGTTCCATGAGTACTGGAGACTGATAGGGGAGCTGGCCAAGGAGATCCGGAAGGAGAAGGCCCTGGAGATCCGGAAGAAGTAAAGCCCCTGACCAGGATGGGGCCAGGCTGGCCAGGCAAAACCCCACTCCCCCCCAATATAGCTTCCTCCTTGAAACACAAATGTTTCTTGTTCCCACCCTACCCTGCTTTCTTCTCTTGAGAGGAGGTGGTCTGAGAGTGGGTCCAAAAATTTTGAGCTCTTTGTAGACCAGGGATGTTACTCATCTTTGAATATCATTCTGCAGCATCAAGCACTGTACCGGGGAGGTGCTCAATAAATTAATGGTTGAGGAGGGGCTCCTGGGTGGCTCTGTCAGTCGAGCATCTGACTCTTGACTTCGGCTCAGGTCATGATCCCATGGTTTGTGTATTTGAGCCCTGCATCAGGGTCTGTGCTGACAGTGTGAAGTCTGCTTGGGGTTTTCCCTCTCTCTCTCTCTCTCTCTCTCAAAATAAATAAATAAATAAATAAATGAATAAAATAAACAAATGGTTGATGAATGAGTATATGAAAGGAAGAGAACGGACATCTGGGGCAGGCGAAGTGACTCTTACTCCACCAGGTGCCTCCTGGGGCCCCGGGGCACGGTCTCAGTTCACACTTTTCTTTTACCTGGGGTTTGTGTCATTGGACGGTAATGGTAGCAGTGAACTTGTGTTGAGGACTTGCTGTGTGCCAGGCACAGTACTAAACACTGTTCCTGCGGTGTCTTTGTGAGTTGATTCTCACAGCCCTTTGAGGAAAGGTACTGTTTTTAAGTTCTGTATTGAAGATGAGGAAACAGATGTTAGAGAAGTTCGCAGACAAGCAGAGGTGGAACTGGGTTGAAATTCCAGAGCCTCTGTGATGAACTGGGATCCTCTCCGGATGGGTGGTGTGGGACCACTGGGCCCTCTTCTCCTCCCTCCCTCCATAGCAGGGGTGAAGCAGAAGAATGGACACAAGGTTCTGGTACGAAGACTGTGGGACGGGCGCCCCTCTCCCCACCCTTCTTGGCTCGAGGGGCTTGCGGTTTGCACTGCCCGCCACCAGAGGGGGCAGGGGTGGGGCAGCCCAGCAGGCACCGCCTCCCCGCAGCTGTCACTGCCGCTGCCTGGTGTCCCTCTGGGACAGCCATTACTCCTGAGGAACCTTCAGGCTGAGACAACCTCCCCACCGCACACCAAGGAAGGTTCCCAGGTTGAGACCTTCCATCTAAGTGCCCTCAGACTGAGAGACCTCAGAAGGACCCCTAGGCTGGCACCGAGGGGCCATTTGGCTGAGACGTTCCAGAGTGGGTCTCACAGGGGGCTTCCCTCAAACCAGAGACCCTAGGAGAGACTTGACGAGAAACTCTTCAGAGGGACCCCTGGTTGAGGCACTCCTGGAGAAGCCCTCAGGTTGAGAGACCCTCAGAGAGGTCCCCAGACTGAGAGCTCTCAGAGGAACACAGAGTGGGGTACTCTAGGGAGGGCTTTTTCATGGAGAGACGCTTTTAGATGCACTCGATTGAGGCCAGAAGTACAGGGGAGGCCCAGGAGGAGACACAGGGAGGGGCAGTGGGAGTCACGCTTCAGCTTTGGGTCCCGCCTCATCCTTGCCTTGGCCCACACTAACTCCCCTGCTGCCGCTCTTCCTTCCCTCTCCCCGTCGTCTCCCCGTCAGGTGAGGAGGTCCCTTGGGGTGTGCCGAGGCTTCCTGGGATGTCATCCCCCGCACTGGATTGGGGGAGTTGGGTTCAGGAAGGCATGGGGTTCTGGGGGAGGGAGGAGTAGGCAGCCCAACCAGTTTGGAGAGGTCGTTAGCAGCCAGATCATTCACCTGGGCCTCACACATGCTGGCTCACACATGCTGTGCATGCTGGCTGAGGGGAGCCCCAAGGGGGTCAGGACAACACTCAGTGTGGCCCCTCTGCCAGGCTGCCCTGCTCTGGCTCCTTCCTCACCTGTTGGCCATGGGGACTGCTACCCAAATTGGCCCTGGTGGGAGGAATGTGAGTGAGTGAGTGAGTGTGTGTGTGTGTGTGTGTGTGTGAGAGAGAGAGAGAGAGAGAGAGAGACATCAAAGGACAGAGAGGTCTCTGGGGACCTCTCTCAACTCACATGTCTCCGGACCACAAGCCCTGCCTTGATCAGTCTCTGCTTTTCCTTCTTTCCTGATGCTGACTCAAAGCCCCTCCACTTCAATTCCTCCAGGCCTTTCTTCCCAGGCTCGACCCCACAGTCTTGCCAAGGCCCCCTTCTGCCTTCCCCAACCTCCCCTTCCCTTTCTCTTGCCTGGACTCTGCTTGCTGGTCTGGGGCCAGAGGCCACCCAGCCCCAGCCTCCAAGGGTTCCCTCCAATGGCAGAGTGGGCAGGCTCTCGGGGCTCTGGCCAATGGGGGGTGGGGCCCACAGGGCTGGCTCACACCCGGCTGCTGCAATAGCAGGGGTGGCTTAGGGATGAGGCCCAGCCCTCTGCCTTCCCTCCCTGCCCCCAAGTATAAGAGCTGAGCTCAGGTGAGCTGACTCCTAGCGTCCGGTCCCAGCAGCTGCCAGCAGGTAAGGAGACATAGGCCTTTTCAGCCAAAGGGCTGCCCCTGTCCAGAGGACACAAGTAGCCTATTCTACCCTGGCCTGCCGGGAGAAGCGCAAGGGGCCAGGTCCTGGACAATGATGATGATGATGTGTGTGTGTGTGTGTGTGTGTGTGTGTGTGTGTGTGTGTAGCAGAGGAGAATGGTGGGAAGACTGATCTAAGGTGAGGCCCAAGGGATTCCCTCTGAATAGGGGGGTCTAGGGGCTGTGATCTCAGCTCCTGGATCCTTCACAGGAACCAGGCCTTGTGTGGAGTTGGCTCCGACCCCCTGAGCAAGGAACAGAATATTGAGGGGACAGCCAGAGGGGACAGTTGAGAAAGATATGCTGAGCCATCCCCTGCCCTCAGTCTTCCTCCTTCCAGGCGGATCATGAGCCATCGGCTCCTCTGAGGCCTGCTGTGGGACAACAGCGCTCTCACCGGGACGAGCACACCGGTCACCATGGGGCAGTGTCGGTCAGCCAATGCTGAGGTGGGCCCATTCGTGCCTGGACTTTCTGTTCCCATGCTCCACTCCCCGACCCTGAGGGTCTGTGTCCCCTCTTCTTGGCCTTGCCCCACACTCTAGACCTTGCTCGGGAGACCCAGACTCTTCTCTCGTACCCACAGGGGTGATACACAAGGAACCCTCCTGGGAAGAGAGAGTCTGCCCTGGGTGGGGGCTGGGGGGTGACGGGGTGGAAGCCTTGCCCAACTTGTGGCTCAGGCAGGGCAGGGGCCAGTGGGGGGAAGGGGGTTGGATGCCGGGCTCTGGAGTGGGTGGGAGCCTCTGTGCCTCCCAGCTTTCTTCTGCCCTATTGGCCTTGAGGGCCTTGGGGTGGCAGGGTGTCCTAGGGTGGACGTAGCCTCCCTGACATGAGTGATGTCCCCTGCCCTCAGGATGCCCAGGAATTCAGTGACGTGGAGAGGGCCATTGAGACCCTCATCAAGAACTTCCACCAGTACTCTGTGGAGGGTGGCAAGGAGACGCTGACCCCCTCCGAGCTACGGGACCTGGTCAGCCAGCAGCTGCCCCACCTCATGCCGGTACTGAGGGAGCGGCCCGCCCAGGCAGCGCCCTGACTTCCCCTCCGGGTCTCCAAGGCCCCACCCACACGGCCCCTGGCACTAGCAACCCCAGCCCTTCCCAACTGCCAGTGCCAGGTAGGCACAGGTCCCGCCTCCTGCCCCTGGGCAGGGGTGCGGCAGGAGGATCAAAGGGTGCTGCCTCCCTGAGCTGTGGTGTCTTCCCTCCCCTCAGAGCAATTGCGGCCTCGAAGAGAAAATCGCCAACTTGGGCAGCTGTAACGACTCTAAACTGGAGTTTGGGAGTTTCTGGGAGCTGATTGGAGAAGCAGCCAGGAGCGTGAAGCTGGAGAGCCCTGTCCGGGGGAGTTGAAAACCTTCTTCTGGAATTCTTGGGGGGATGTTGGGGAAAGGGGACCTTAGAGACCGTGGGCCTAGAAACACCTCTCCACCACCACCACCACCACTACCACCACCACCACCACACTATTCCCCAGTCTGCACCTGCCTCGCCTCTGCAAGGTTCAAGTCCTTAGTGAGCCTTCCCAGGGGTCTCCGGGTACTTCATCCTTGGGAGCTCCGTGGAACTCCATGAGTCCCCACCAGAGGGAGGCTCAGGGGATGGGTTGGGCCCAGGGATGGATGTGGCGAGATGCTGGAGGGATGAGGATGGGCTAAGGGCCAAGTAATTTGGTTGCGGGGAAGGTCAAAGACGAACTGGGCTGCTGGATATGATTTGAAGAAGAGGGCGGGGAATGGGGCTGGATATTTGGTACTGAAAAGAGTCTCTGAGAAGCTAGCCTTCCTTATCTCTTCCCCAACCCAAATGCTAACTTCTGTCCAGTGCTACGCCTTCCTTCTTCCAGCTCTGCCCCAGCCTCTTTCCAGGACTCTGTCCCTGGGCTAGGGCAGGGGAAGAGACAGAGCAGGCTGGAGAGGGGAGGCTGAGGAGGGGGTGACTTTGGGAGAGGACCAGCTCGGTGCTTGGGCATTTAAAGAATGATGGTTGTTTTGTAACATGTGATTAATAAAACAAACGGAAAAAGCGAAAGATGCTGTCTTGGCTGGATACCTGCCTTACCTCAGTCCACGGGCAAGGGGTGGTCGGGTGAGTGTCAGAGCCCTTGGTGGCACAGGGCACGTGGGGCTGCAGTGGCTGCGGCAGAAGTGAATGGATTTGGGTCGAGGATGGGTGCCAGGCCCCAGAGTTGGAGAGCTGGTCCTCTCTGGAGGACAGACTCTTCTTTGCCAAGGGGCTGGTCCTCTGCCAGGAGGAGAGGGTATGTGTGCTCACCTGGGGAGACAGTTAAGACCCCAGACAGTTATGACCCCAGGTGTTCCCTGGGCGACCGGCAGCAAGGGAAACGTGGGGCTGAGAAACAGGCTGACCCGCCTGGGTCTGAAGCCAGCCCTGCCACTTACCATCTCTGGAGTGTTGGGCATGCTCTCAGAGTATCAGTTTGCTCATCTGTCAAATGGGGTATTAATATCTCTGAAATAAATCAGATTTGTTAGGAGGATAATGGACACATCACGTGAAGTACTTAGCAGAGAGCTTGACACAGAGTGAGTGCCCCGAGCTGGAGTCTCCCTTGTCGGAGTGGACGGGTGGGTCCCCTCTACTTTCAGCTGCCGCCTCCACATGTTGACTAGCCAGTTTCCTTGGGCGTACCGGGGAAGGGCTGGAGGGGTGCAGAAGAATCCTCTGCTGCACGTGACAGGTCCTAGGAGTGGGCGTCAGCTCCTGGTGGTCTG